ATGTGCATTTTCCCTCTGTAGCTAACAGCTGGGTGTAGAATGGTTAGTCCCGAAACGTATGTAATAGATTCTATGTAATAGTATCTATGTAAGCGTATCTCCTGTAATTTTATGTCTTGTAATTGTATGTATTAGTATCTCTTCATATAGTATGTAATGTATTCGTATTTATGTAATTATAGCTAGTATAGACTCATGAATGAACTGACTCTTGTGTGATTCCTTGTACTTGGAATAGAAGTAGTATCTCCTAACTATACCTATTATAGTTACTAGTAATGTACGTGTATAATTGAAGGTATACCTTTGCTACCCAAAGGAACTGAACTAACTAATGGAACTTTTATGTCTAAATATGGATACACGATATATAACTAATATTTAGATGAAATTCGGACGAATAACTGATACCCTAAGACCACATCCCAATAAGGAAAAGGAATTAAAGTGAGCTAGCCGTCATAAGTCCTGTAAACATTACTTATATAACTATATATATATATATATAGGCATGCATTTGACAATATAAAAGTATAAAAGAAGTTTTGTAAAACCTTTGGAATTTTAATAACTAAGAAGTGATGACTTGATATCAGTTTATAAAACGATTTGAAAGTAGTTTGTTTGATAAGACAGTTTAAGTATAAGAAGAACCTTTGTTTGAAACCCATTTGTAAAAGAGTTTGAAAGGAAACATACAATAGGTAAGACAGTTTGATAAGAGTTTAACATGTAAAACATTTTGGTAAGTCATTTGGAAGTAGTATACTGAGTAAACAACTAACAATGTAGTAAATCCATTTGTATGCTAGTTATTAATCACATGTGATTGATATAATAACTAGCATGATTCAACTTGTATTCCCCCATAAAGCATTTATAAACATTTAAAAACATTTAAAAGGTTAATTCAGGGGTATGAGCTCACCTGCAGTGAGTGAATCGTATGGAAGTGTCGGACAAGTGTTTGGTGTCAAGTGAAGACTTAAACACACACAATGATCCTAATAACATATAAAGACATATGTATATATATACAATTAGTGATTATAACACTAATTAGACAAGTATAAACATTCTAAGGCGTGGAAAACACTTTAGTCAAAGTGTTAGGAGGCCATTGGGTTGCAACAAAAGATTGCAAGGCATTGTAAGTGAGTTTATGGTCAATGGACCACACTTAATGGAGTTTACGGCCCAGGGGAGTTTACTCCTGGCCATAAACTCTCTAATGGGTCTCCATTTGAGGCTTAAAGCTATGTTGTCTTAAGTGGTTAAGTGTTCCAAGGCTAAACAAGAGGCTAGGTGGGTTTAAGGTCCATAAATGACCCCAACTTGAGTTTACGGCCTGGGGACCACTTCCCTATGAGTTTATGGCCGTAAACTCATGGTATGAAGTACCAAATCGATGTTTAATGTGCCTAGTTCAATGATGGTTGGTTCTAGACTAGTATCCAAGGCTTGGTAAGGGACTAGGGTGCAATTTGCCCCACTTATAGGGGTTTACGACCCAAGAACATGTCTTGGTCGTAAACTCCTTTGATCTTGTGTTTCTTTGTGATTTCTAAGGCCTAAATATGTTAAACCTAGTGCACAATGAGTTAGAACAAGAGTACTTACGATCTAGGAGTTTGAATGGTTGGTTTTGGCCAAGAACACTAGTGTGTGTTCTTGGTGAAACTTGAAGATCTACATAAATGGAATGATTTCACGGATGAAATCATGTAAGATCACTAGTTCATCTAAGATATCAACTAGTTAGGGCAAGAAACTTATGAGTTTTGAAGATCGGGGACGAAGATCGGGATGATACTTGAGAGGATTTGGGAGGAAATCAGCCAAGGAAGTGAAAGAATGAAACAAATGGCCAAAACTTGACAATATAGGGGGAGTTTACGGACAACATGGAGTTTACGACCGTAAACTCCATTGTTGTGGCCGTGAACTCCTTGTCAAGTTGTTTATGGCTCGTTCCTTGTGCTATAGCTTCAACAGATAAACCCTGACACCTATCCCTTAAGTGCACAAGGCTTAGAACGCTCAAATAAACTCCTAATTGTGCTAAAAAATAACACAAATGAGTTTTATTTTCAATGAAGTGTTTGACTGTACAAGATAGAAAATTTCGGGTTGTCACAGTTTTAAACTTGCTTCAGTTGTGTACATTTGTAAAAAAAAAAAATATTCAACATCTAAGGCATCCTTCTCTGCCTATGAGGCAATGGTTTGATACATTTAGTGTCAAGCTGTATACGACTCTATTCAAAGGCCTTTTATTATCTTAATATGCATCGATACATTTCAGTTTGCTAAACCAGTCACTATTGTGTTCCTCTGAACATTGATGAGTGTAATATAATGCAAAACATGCATATACACAAGGAATGCCATGGAATCCCTAAAACCAACAAGAGCAATGTTGTGCCTCCATATCCACCAAAATGAGTCAAGGCCGTTTATGACCTCATATAAATTCTTTCCACTTGCTACAACTAACTAATGCCTACAATGTGGATATAAAACATTAGAATTAAGAACCAATATTCAAAACTCAATGCTATTATAGATAGTACATTGTATTTTTTTTTCGTTATTTTTACATCTTCTTCAATCTAGCAGGACGATATAACCATCTGAAGCTTAAGCTTTTGGTAGTATTTTGCAACACTTTTCTATTACATGGATTATAGGTTTTCTTTAAGTAACCAAATTAACCCTAATTTTTTTTTGCTACAAAGTATAGCTCTAAGCATATAAAGTAAGTTTAATGACTTCATTATATTGGGTTGAAGACCAACTACCATCCGAGTGGCCCAACGGTTATAGAGGGAAATGGTAACCTCCCTACAGACGGGGCCAAAGTTTGAATCTTGGCCGAATGTTTCAAATAGGGATGACCAAGAGTGAGATACATAGTTGTCCGAAATGGCATTTAGTTCTTCGCCAAAGAAAACCCCCTTCTCCATAACCTCGAAAAATAAGGACCTAGTAGTTGACGGTGCATACAATCTATTTAGATAACCATCCAAAAGAACGATAAAAATTTATCTTAATTCTTTTAGAAATAAGAGTTTAACACATTGCAAGTTGGGATCTAACAACACGTGGCAGTGATGCCAATGTGTGCCATGGTGATGAGGCGTGAATTTTCTATCCTAAAAACAGTTATGACATCGTTGTTAGGCGTGACGCCAAACCAAGGCTTTTCTAGGAAGACCATTCCAAAAATTCTTTTTTTTAGACGTTTTATAGGCCGGATAGTTATATAACTAGTTGACAAACTTAGACAATTCGTGGCGTTTGGCACGCCTAACAACAAATCTATGGGTGTTTTTGGAACGACGGAATCACATTTTGACGTGGCACATGTTGAACTATTTTTTTGACCTTGATATATAAGGGTATACACTTTAAGTTAAGCCTTCAAAATGTCATGACCTCGCTATAGATCATAAGACTTGATGAAGCCATGCGTTGTTTACAGTCTAAATTTGTATTAAAATAAATGAATTAATTAGTAAATGATATTGACTTTCGTTGTAAAATTTTCAATAATTAGATACTTTATTTAACTTTTGGAAAACCTAAGGGTCATTACTGTAATTGTTGAAAAAGGAGGGAAATGTTGAAAAGGAAACAAATCCGCACCTATGCCTATGAATGCCAAAGGCGTGAAATGAAATATGTGATCCCAAAAAACCAATCTCTCCTTCCATAATCCATTACATATCTGATTTGGGTACGTTGATTCTGGATTCAAATTCACGATTGCATGTTTCCGTTGGTCAGATATTTATCTTCTTCCTAAATTGATTTGTTTTATCTGATGTTACCTAATTTACGACGAAATTTCATTTTCTAGAACACGAAAGAATCAATAAAGAAAACGGGATCAGAACTGCAAATCATAAAGCAAAAGCGTTCTCCAGCTTCCTTAACCGAATAATTTCATGGATTAGGTAATGTAGATTTTGGATTTAAATCCACGAATGGTAGATTTTCGTTTTCGTTTTCGTCCTAATTTTATGTGTTCTAGCTGATTGTACCAAATTCACGGTGTAGTTTTAGCGTTCAGAACCTTCAAAGAATTACGGATGAAATTTTTGAGTCTGCTAATGTTTGTACAGTTGATAGTTTCATATTCTCACATCAGAGGAATTACTTGAATTCGTACCACAACGTTTTTTTCTCGATCTTAGGTTTTCCATTTTTAGGCTAATTTTGGGTCGAGAAAGTTTACATGAATGTAGAAGTGGTCAAGAAACCCATTTTTTCCAATTTTGCATGTGCATGATCCCTTTGTGATTCGTTTATGGTTTCAATTAGTCTGTTTTAAGTTTTTAATTGTTTAAGTTTCTCCATTCCCACAAATGACTTTATACATAACATAACAATTGCATTATATACGTAATTTCATGATATACATGCTCATCCCTCTAACAATGGTATTGCTTGTACAATCTACATAATAAAATACACTCTTCCTTTTTCCTTTCATGTATCTTAAGGCATCTAGGTTGATAAAAATGTTTGTTTGATCTTTCCTTTGGCCTCACGCATGAGAAAAACACTATGAAATGGATGAAATGACGTTTTAGCCTCTCCTAGCCATGCAAAAGCTTAAAGCCCACGATTTTATGGATTAAGAGGTCTTAAAGTACTCAGATCTATGGATGAAATGGTTGTCTTAACGGATCTAAAAAAACTAAAAATATAAAAAAACGATTAAAATATAGAAACAAGTTTAGTTTTGACTAAAAAATAAAAAAAAAATGAAAATAAAATAGTTAAAAAAAACATAAAACCGAGTTTTGAACATGTGATGCAATTTTTTGCAAACTACATGGGTCAAATTTGAATTTTTAGGACGATAGAGTTAACCATCAAAATCGTTAAATAGGTTAGAATGATAACTCTACGTTTTATTTTTGACCAGAGCCATAATAATAATAATAATAATAATAATAATAATAATAATAATAATAATAATAATAATAGGGCTTTTTCAATTACGTGTGAAAATGTTGCGGCTTTTGAACACGACAAACAGATACTAAATCGTGTCAATTTTGTGTCGGATTTTGAACACAAACACGACATTGTGTTTTTTACAATTGACACGAACACGAATTCAAATTTCAGTGTTGTCAAAATTTCCTTTCGTGTTGTGTATTTTTTGCATCGTGTTTTTTACGGTTGGCACGAACACGAATTCAAATTTCAGTTTCATCCAAATTTAGTTTGGTGTTGTGTATTTTTTTGTGTGTACATATGAAAAGCATACGTGAAGGCTTAGGGGCATTTTGGGGATTTAAGCAGAATTTGCAATGACGAACGAATTACATGTCGAAGCTTTGCTTTCGTCATCAATGGCGAAGAAGCTCCAATTATGGAGAAATTATTGTTTAATTTTACACTATTTTTCCCGGATGGACATGGACAGGAGCAAATTTGAAAACTGTTCGCTGTTGACGACGACGACATGGCTTTGGTTTTTCCTTCAGGGTTTCTTAAGGTAAGCCACATTTTATTTACAATTTGTATATACAATGGACTATAAATCGAGACCTCGAGTAGTTTGATGAATCACTGTAGTTTTGACCGTAAGCGACACCGGTGATTTGAAGGATCACAATTCACAGGTTTGGTTGTGAAGTGAAAATGTCGAGTTTGAAGTCTACTTAGACTGGAAATGGGGAGCGCTGCTAAGCTTATCGTGGATGCCCTGCTACAACGGTTCCTTCCACTTGCTAGACGTAGGATTGAAACTACACAAACACATGTAAGAATGGTTCAGTCACTCTGCATGCTGTTGCTTATAATCAAAAGTTTGTTTTAGTTGATCTTCCAGTAATTTCTTATTTCTTCAAATTATGTGGGGGAACTACAGGATGGACGTTACCTTCGGCCATCGGATCCAGCTTATGAACAAGTGTTGGATTCCTTAGCTTTGGTGGCTCGACACATGCCTGTACCTCTTCTTGAAGCGCTTCTTCGTTGGAGAGACAGGTGAGTTTTTTGCTTTTAATATTCAGATTATAGGCAACTAATTTGTTAAAGAGATGTACAATGATGTATATAGAGCTTCATCAGTCCATTGTATCACTGGAATTATGAATATGTTCTGATTTCTTTTGTAGTGAATCCCCAAAAGGTGCAAATGATACATCTGCATTTCAGAAAAAGGTTCAAATGACTTAATATTTCTTGTGTGCATCTCCTTGTTTGTGAAAGTGTAGTTATAATGATGCTTTGATTGGATTAGCTTGCAGTGGAGTGCATTTTTTGTTCAGCTTGTATTCGCTTTGTGCAGTGTTGTCCACCTGATGGACTTACAGGTTCGCCTTTTCCACCATTAGTCTATCCTTAATCCTTGTAAGTTAAGTCATTTTGTTCTAAAACAGGATATGCTTATTGTAATGGCAGAAAAACTATGGAGTGGGCTTGAACATTTTGTATTTGATTGGTTGATCAATGCTGATAGGTAAGGGTCAAATTGTCTTCAGAAATTTTAAGATATATAATTGATGTGCTCATTGATTTCAAGTGGCATAATTGGAATTATGTCATGTGGTGTCATGTTTAATTTATTTGATAAATTTGCTGATTACAGGGTTGTAAGTCAGGTTGAATATCCTTCGTTGGCTGATTTGAGGGGGCTCCTTCTAGACCTAGTTGCACAGCTTGTGGGTGCTCTATCACAGATCAGGTGATTGGTAAATCCGGTCGTTTTTTTTTTTCTTACTATGTGTTTATTGATGCGTAAGGCCAAAGTGCATTTTAGAAGAAAGCAACATGTTTTGTTTCTCGAGCTTATCATTGATATTTTTTTTTCTTTCTTGAAAGACTTAATAAAGGAGTGCAATTTGTAAAGTTTGAGAATTCCATATATCTTATTATTTATTTTTCCTAAATCTTAATGATTCTTTGATGAACCGTAGGTAGCTTTTGTTATATGTTCATCTAGTTGTAGATTTACAAACAACCAAAAGGCACTGCAATGTGATTTTATCTGTATATTAACCAAATGTAATTATCAGTAGTTAGGTTAATAAGAGTCTTGGTTTATGCTCCTAAGTATCATTTGGATATACCAACTACCAAGAATTATGGATTTGGTCTTTTTAGGTTTTAATTTGGTTTAACAGGTTTGGGTTTGGTTTAATTTTTTTGGTTGGGGCTCGTAGAGTTTGGTTTAATTATACATACAAATCATAAATTACATAATGCACTTAGAATTCTATCCCTAATACTTAATTTCCTTTCGATAAATTAATAAATACTTTAAGTCCTTAAGATGAATATAAAAACTGTTGTTCACTAAACATTGTAGCATGACATTTAGGATAATCAATAGCTTTGCTTATAGCGTCTCTTTAAAAAAGTTACAACAATTGCACGATTAGCATTACATATAATTACTTTTACATTGTGTTTCAGTATTTTGAGAAAGCTTCACATCTCCTGAATAGGTTCACATCTGTAACTGGACACTTTTTCATGGAACTCAACACCCGTCGTATCGATACTAGTGGGGCCCGAACCGAAACCCTCAGCATCATTAATGGGATGCGACATTTAAAGCTCGGGGTATACATGACACATTTTGTATTTGCTTAAAATATTATATGATTTATATGATAAATAAATATTTAAGGTAAAGACGGAGGGTGGTATCAACGCATCAGCATCTTTTCTGGCAAAAGCAAATCCACTGAGTCGTGCTCCCAGCAAACGAAAAAGTGAACTTCACCATGCACTTTGCAATATGTTGTCAAGCATTTTGGGCCCACTTGCAGATGGTGGAAAAGGTCACTGGCCTCCACCTGGCATGCAACGTGCACTTCCTGCATGGTATGAAGCTGTTGCGCGTGTAAGGATACAGATCACTCATTGGGCAGACAAACAGAGCAAGCATATACCTGTAAGTAAATGCTGAATTATAATCCTTGTAGCTTATATCAATGTTGCTATTATGGGTTACAAAACAAAGCACAATGCTATTATTGGTAAAGAAATGACAGCAAGGTTCTATTATTTGTAAAAGATATAGTATATTGCCTATATTGGTAAAAGAGTAAAGTATGTTGCTATTTCCATTTCCCTGCAATTTGCCCTTTGTTTTATTCTCTTCTTTTGGCTTGATTGTCCTTCTACTTTCTTTGTTTTTTGTGTTAGGCTGCTTACCCTTTGGTGACTCTGCTTCTCTGTCTTGGTGATCCTCATGTTTTTCTCGGTAACTTTAGTGTTCATACTGAGCAACTGTATAAACATCTAAAGGTAACTTTACATGGACACATTAGCATTATAATCTTTATATTCTTCTATTAGATGACATGGTATATATTTGTTTATTTTCCAGGATAAGAACAACCGGTTCATGGCTCTGGATTGTATACACTGTGTTACAAAATTTTATCTGAGTGTTCATGGGGAGTCCCAACAATCAAACCTGGTATGGGACTACCTGGACAGTGTGACAACACAACTTCTAACAGCTCTTAAAAGAGGGATGCTTACACAAGATGTCCAACATGATAAACTTGTTGAACTCTTTGTTACAATAGGGGAACATCACCTTGATTTTTGTATCAATCATGTGATACTGGAATTGCTTAAGCAAGATAGTCCAAGTGAGGCGAAGGTCATTGGTCTTCGTTCTTTACTTGGCATTTCAGTGGCTCCCACAAGCGAACATATCGGCTTGGAAACCCTTCATGGTGATTGATTGATTGATTATTCCTTTTGTTGTCCGATTTTCAAATCTTTCCTTTTTGACTTTGGTCTATTATGATTATGACAGCTCAGGACTTGGGTCACTACGTTCCAAAAGTAAAGATTGCAATCGAGTCTATATTAAGGTCATGCCATAGAGCTTACAATTTGGCGCTTCTCACCTCTTCAAAGACAACTATAGATGCTATCACAAAGGAGAAGTCACAAGGGTATCTTTTTCGGTCAGTTTTAAAGTGCATACCATACCTGATTAAAGATGTTGGCAGAAGTGATCGAATGACTGAGATAATACCCCAACATAGTATCAGCATTGATCCTGGTATTCGTGAGGAAGCAATACAAGCACTGAATAGAATTGTGAGATTCCTACCTGAACGTCGATTTGCAGTTATCAGAGGTATGGTGAACCTCATCTTACGCCTTCCAGACGAGTTCCCTCTTCTCATTCAAACATCAATAAACCGCCTTCTAGAACTCTTGCGTTTATGGAGAGCTTCTCTTTCTGATGATGATGTTGAACATGATGATTTCCATGCTTCAGAGATTGAAGCAGTTGGTCTTATCTTTCTTACTTCTGCTGATACTCATATTCGACACACAGCATTGGAGTTGTTGCGATGTGTGCGTGCTTTACGAAATGATATACAAAGCTTTATGTTATGTGAAAAGTCGGATCTCATAGAGCCTATACTAATGATCGATGTGTTTGAGGAAAATGGGGATGAGATTGTTCAAAGTTGTTACTGGGATTCCAACCGTCCGTTTGATCTGAGACGAGAATCTGACGTGGCACCTCCTGATGCGACACTTGAAGCTATGCTTTTTGAAAGCCCTGATAAGTACAGATGGCCTCGTTGTCTTAGTGAGCTTGTCAAATATGGTGCACTTCTCTGTTCACGTTCCATTCAGGAAGCAAAGTAATAACAACTTTTGAACTTTTTTTGACTTATATAACTGTATTATGCTTTTTATAGGATGATAAATTTGGATACTTATAATATTCTCAGGGTAGAGATTACTAAGAGACTTGCGCTTGTGACACCTGTTGAATTGGGAGGAAAGGCTCATCAGCTTCAAGATGCAGACAACAAAGTAGATCAATGGCTGTTGTATGCTGTGTTCGCTTGTTCCTGTCCACCTGGAAGGGAAGGAGCTGGTACTTCATCAACACGAGAGCTTTTCCGACTTATCATCCCCTCACTAAAATCTGGTTCTGAAGCATATGTTGTAAGTATTATCCATTAACTTTGTGTATTTATAAAAAATAAAAGAAAAACTTTACACATGATGCAGTAAAAGTAACATAGTCTTGACAGCATGCTTCAAGTATGGCTCTTGGTCATTCACATCTGGAAGTGTGTGAAGTAATGTTCAGCGAGCTGGCATCTTATATGGATGAAATTTCTTCAGAAACAGAAGGAAAACCAAAATGGAAGGTATTTCATCCTTCCATATAAACTTATTTACTTATTTAATCACATCATACATAATTAAATAATATCTTATATGATTTGACACAGAGTCAAAAACCTCGACGTGAAGAACTCCGAATTCACATTGCAAATGTTTACAGAAGTGTTGCTGAGAACATATGGCCTGGGATGCTGTCACGTAAGCCGGTTTTCCGTCTTCATTATTTGAAATACATCGATGAAACAACCAGATTAATCACAACAGGACCTCTTGAGAATTTTCACGAAATGCAAACCCTTCGTTACACACTTTCATGTGTACTAATCCCATTGGCGCCTGAATTCGTGGATTCAAAATCAGAAAAATTTGATCCGAAAATCAGAAAGCGAATATTCGATCTTTTTCTCTCATGGTGTGATGACTCAGGGAGTACGCTGACTCAGGATGGGTTAAGTGATTATCGGCGTGAAGTTGAACGATACAAGTCTAGTCGCTACACGCGGTCAAAAGATTCGGTTGACCGGGTCTCATTTGACAAAGAACTTTCTGAACAGGTTGAAGCAGTGCAATGGGCTTCCATGAATGCCATGGCTTCATTGTTATATGGCCCTTGTTTTGATTTTGATAATGCGAGAAAAATGAGTGGAAGGATTATATATTGGATTAATAGTCTCTTCATTGACTCTGCACCCAGGGCTACTTTTGGTTATTCACCCACTGATCCTAGAGCTCTATTTTATGGTAATAAACACACAGGAGGAGGAGCTACTGGACATGATAAAACCAAATCTGGTCACCTTCGTGTTTCTCTTGCTAAGATAGCTTTAAAGAATCTTATTCTTACAAATTTAGACCTTTTTCCTGCTTGCATTGATCAGTGCTATTATTCTGATGCGGGTGTAGCAGATGGATACTTCAGTGTATTGGCTGAAGTCTACATGCGTCAAGAAATGCCTAAATGTGAAATCCAACGACTCTTGAGTTTGATTCTTTACAAAGTGGTGGACCCATCTAGACAGGTTCGTGATGATGCCTTACAAATGCTTGAAACTTTATATATCCGTGAATGGGCTGAAGAAGATAAGATTGAAAGTTCCGGAAGCTGCTATCAAGCTGCAGTAGTTGGGAACCTTCCGGATTCCTACCAACAATTTCAATACAAATTATCTTGCAAGCTTGCTAAAGATCGCCCCGAGCTGAGTCAGCTTCTTTGTGAGGAAATCATGCAGAGACAACTAGACGCGGTTGATATAATTGCACAGCACCAAGTTTTAACATGTATGGCTCCTTGGATTGAAAATCTTGATTTTTGGAAACTTCAAAATTCAGGGTGGAGTAAAAGATTATTGAAAAGTCTTTATTATGTGACGTGGCGACACGGTGATCATTTTCCCAATGAAATCGAGAAGCTTTGGAGAACTATTGCGAGTAAGACGCGTAACATCCGCCCGGTTCTTGATTTTTTAATCACTAAAGGAATTGAAGATTGTGATTCCAATGCATCAACGGAAATAAGCGGTGCGTTTGCTACATATTTTTCAGTTGCTAAAAGAGTAAGCTTGTATCTAGCTAGAATTTCTCCACAAGGTACAATCGATCACTTGGTTTACAAATTAGCCCAAAGAATGCTTGAAGATAGTTTAGAACCCATCAGACCAACATCTAACAAGAGCGATTTGGGAAATTTCATTTTGGAATTTTCTCAGGGTCCAACACCAGTTCAGATGCAGAGTACTGCGTCTGTTGTTGATAACCTAAACCCACCGCCTCATTTGTCACCATTACAAGTTCGAGGATCTGTTGATGGTCAACTAACAAGGATAAACCTTGCTCCGGTGGCTTCTGGAAGGTCTAGCCAGCTGATTCCGTTGATGTCACCGTTAATGGGAGTCCGGAATTCACGAAGCCGACATGCTTCTCGAGATAGTGGGGATTACTTGATCGAGACACCGAATTCGAATTCCGAAGTAGATGGTCTACATGCTTTTAGTGGAATTCTCGGTGTTAGTGCTAAAGAGCTTCATACAGCCTTACAGGGTCATCAGCAACAACATTCCTTAACCCATGCAGATATAGCTCTGATCCTACTTGCAGAAATTGCTTATGAAAATGACGAAGATTTTAGGGAGCATTTACCTTTACTTTTTCACGTGACATTTGTCTCCATGGACAGCTCAGAAGACATTGTTCTAAAACACTGTCAGCTGTTACTCGTTAATTTACTATATTCACTCGGTGGGCGACATCTGGAGCTTTACACTGTTGAAAATAATGATGGCGAAAACCGGCAACAAGTCGCAAGTTTGATTAAATACGTCCAATCAAAACGTGGGAACATGATGTGGGAAAACGAGGACCCCACAGTCACAGAAATCAACCTCCAAAGTACAACGCTATTATCTGCACTTGTACAAAGCATGGTGGAAGCTATATTTTTTCAAGGTGATCTTCGTGAGACATGGGGAACCGAAGCCCTCAAATGGGCAATGGAGTGTACGTCTAGACATCTTTCGTGTAGGTCCCACCAAATCTACCGGGCCCTACGACCCCAGGTCAACCATGACGCGTGCATCCTTCTCCTCAGATGCCTTCATCGATGCTTACAAAACCCAGTACCCGAAGTTTTGGGTTTTGTTATGGAAATTTTGTTGACTTTACAAGTCATGGTCGAAAATGTCGAGCCCAAGAAGGTAATTCTATACCCCCATCTTTTCTGGGGGTGTGTCGCGATGATGCATACAGATTTCGTTCATGTTTATTGTCAGGTGCTTGAGCTATTCTTGCGTGTGATTGACCATTTAGTATTTTCGGATAGAACAACAGAAAACGTTCTTCTTTCAAGCATGCCACGGGATGAGTTTGACCACAGTGTGGTTGACTTTGACTTTGACTTTGAGTTTCAGAGAATCCCGGTTTTCAAAGGCGTACAACCTCTTGTACTGAAAGGACTCATGTCAACCGTGAGTCACGATGTTTCAGTCAAGGTTCTCTCACGGTTAACCGTGCCCTCTTGTGATTCCATATTCGGGGACCCAGAGACAAGACTTTTGATGCACATCATCGGTTTGCTTCCATGGCTATGCTTACATTTAAACCCGGAAGCAGTTGTGGGGTCCACTTTTTCCCCCCAAAACGCGTGTTTGGTTTCGATGAATCTTGCAATATGGTGTCGGGCGAAATGTTTAGATGAATTAGCGTGTGTTTTCACGGAGTATTCTCAAGGGAGAATAAAAAGTATAGAGGATCTAGTTGTGTGTGTTTCAGCGTTGTTATGTAAGAAATGGGTAGGGAAGCATTTGTCATTGGGTTTGAGACATTTGGTTGGTGTTTTGGAGAAAGGTCCTGTTGAATATCAGCGTGTTGTTTTATTAATATTACAGGAGTTTCTTCAGCATATTCCGATGGATGCTGTTCAGAGCTCACAAATATATGCACTTGTTTCACAGCTTCTTGAAAGTGGTTTGTGCTGTTCAGAGGTGTTAAGTGTGTTGGAAGCTCTTTTACATAATTACGGGTCTATCCATGATCCGGTGGCGTATTACGAAAGTGGCCTTGGTGGGGTGGGGGTTGGGGTGGACGAGTCATCATTCATGGCCCACAGTGGAGGTGGAGGTGGAACAACTGAGGAGTCGGGCAAAGAGTTGGGTTTACGGAATACCCGGTTGATTCTTGGGCGGGTGCTTGATAATTGTGTGCTTGGGAGAAAACGGGACTACAGACGATTGGTGCCGTTTGTAAATACCATCACTAACTTCTAACCTTCCCTTCAACTAGGTATATATCATCATCAAGCCAACTAAGTAATAGTTTTTGGTGTTAAAGACTTTTTATTAGATTGCTATGGCGCAAAGAGTTCCTAGAGGTGTCTCATTTCTTTAAAGGAAATACGCCATTTGAAATATGAGTATTTGAGTTTGATATTTTCATGTCTTACAGAAGTATGTTATTAATTGCGACAGACTTTCATATTTTTATTGTTTTATCTCTTTAATTGATGTTTTTTTAAACACCATTATAAATTTTCATGTCTTTTTCACAAAAGCCATTGTTAACCTTTGATGAGGTGGCATTTTGATGAAAAAAAAGAATAATCAAATTGATATATCTCATGGCAAAAGAAAACAATTAAACTCTGGGTTTCAAGCAAGATACTATTGGATCTCGATTATTGCAGTTAATGAAGCTACAAAGGAGGCGTTGTGGATAAAAAAGTTCATCTCCGACATTGATGGTCTTGTTGAGATCTTCGGTGACAATGAGGGTGTATTGCCTTGGCTAAAGAACTCAAAGATCACAAGCACATAAAGCATACATTTGGAAAGTACCATTACATACAAAAGCTAGTAGAGTAACAACATAAGAGATATGTGCTAATCCGTTCACTAAACTATTGTTACAAACCAAACATGATTCTAATGCTAGGTACATTAGATTTGCAAATGAATTGGTTTGAGTGTATTTAGTGTAGTTCGATTTTGATTTAGGAACTTATACATTGTAAATCTTTATCTGATTTGATGATTATTATGTTGAGATCTTAGTATATGCTCGTAATGAAATAGCCATATTTGAGTTTTATATACCATACATATTTTTTTTAAATAAAAAAATTGTGCTTCATATGGCCTAGATTTTACCCATAAACGATTTGATAACTACTACTTTTTGAATTGCTAACCTTTTGAATTGTTGCTCACTATTTCATATTTTGTTCATTATTCTTCGGCGTCATTGTTCATCTATCATCAAGTTAGTATATTATTTTTTTTTTCTATTATCTTAGTACTTAATTATTTGTTTTTATTTTTATCATAGATACTTTTTAGTTAACTTCTTTTTTTACCAATTTAGTTTTGTATTGAATTTATATTTTTATCATGGGTTTCTAATAAATTAAGTTATTACTTCTTGCTATGAATTAATTATTTATATTATTGTATTTATATGTATTATTGTATTACATATAAGTTTGTTTTGTATAAAAATATAAGACTATGTTTGTAATTGATATTGCTAAGCTTTTCTGTTTAGACTCTATGTTTGTTATCATTTGAAGTAATTTTCTACTCGTTTATATTTTGTAAATTATTTTGTCTACTCTAAAACAAAATCCTGGCTACGCCACTGTATGCTCGAAGTAGTCATTTTCATTAGTTTGTTGTTGTGTGATATTTTCATGTTTACTTGATTTCCTGAATATTAATTTATTCAAAGTAAGTTGTGATTTAAGACTGTCATGAGGTATTAGTGGATAGTTCACAGAAAGGCGATTAATACTCATGCGTATTTAGAGATTACTTCATAGAAATTGAAACGAGTAAATTTAAGATGACAAGATCTTAGATACTTTAAAGTTGTCTGTAACTGACATCCGGAATGTGAGGGTATGAAATGATGAGTGGCGAGGTTTATGTAGTCAAAGTTTATTTGTTTCTTCTACCATAACAAGAGAAGCGATATCACCGCCCCTCTGAATTATTATAACAACCCAATTTTTCAAAAGAAATTTTTTCATTTGAATTAGTCACATACTTTCCACAAAACATGAAATTCCAAATACAATTGTTTTCAAAAATTCTTAGCCATTACAACTTTATTTCAAATCATCAAAGTGTCCCATAAAAATGTCTGTGAGAGAGAGAGAGAGAGTGCTCGTCGTGCCATCAAACCTTGCCCTTGCCCTTGGGCTCGGATGTACCTCAAAAAATCCACAAACTGTAAGCTAATTCTTAGTGAGTCCCCCAGAGTATACCCCACACACAATCCACATCATACATATCATATTAGCTACAAAAGCTATCTATACAAAATAAGCCCTGCATAAGGATGCCTTGGGCTCCTCCCACGGTCTTACTCCAGGATGCTATAGGCTCCCCCATATGGTCTTACACCTACATGCCATGGGCTCCCCCATGGTCTTCCTTGCTGGAAAGCCATGGGCTCCCCCTACATGGTCTTACATCTAAGTGTCATGGGCTCCCCTATGGTCTTCCCTACAAGTATCACATATAGCTAGCAATACAACAAGTATATCAAACTATCATACCACATATCTCTACCAAAAAAATACCACAATCACAAGATGAGCCGACCTTGGTGCCTTAGACCCATCCGTATGGTGAGAAGACTCACATTTCAAATGCTGAACCGATAAGCTAAGGTTAGATATATCCCACGCACTGCTCCTCCTCAACTGCCTATAATCATCATGTGATTAACTTGTCACAACCCCATAAATACCCTCAAAGTCAACCCTGGTCAAAGTTGAGGTTAACAATCCATGTTGACCTCAACTTGTCGAGTACATCCAATAACTCGTCAAGTTCCATGAATAACTCGTCGAGTCACTTGAGTGACTCATCGAGTTCCTTAATGTCCAATGGTCGAAAACTCTAAACCAAAATCACTAACTGAAAACCCTTGACCGAAATCATCCAAGATCCCGAAAATGGGAAAACCCTTTCCAACTCGTCAAGTTGGCTAAGCAACTCGTCGAGTCCCTTCAGTTCTTCTTGTGTTCATTCCTTCCCAGTGCGTTCTAAGGTTCCGAACTCCAGATGCAACCTCCCCTAGTGCAGTTACCACGTTAAGTTGCAAACTTTACGTGCATGCAAGGCTATAACACCAAGACAAAGCAACCTACAAGGTTTTAGTGCATGAAGAGGGACAAAGCTAGATAAAGTGACCAACTTTATGATATTGGGGACCTAGAAAGGTCCATATCTGAAACCATATCCTTGTGACAATTCCCAATCCAAACATGACTCCATTTTACACCAAAATGGCCATTACTTCAATGAAAAGGGGTCTAAGCAACTAAAGATCAAGGTGATGACTTGATACCTCAAGATAGTTGCCAATACCAAGTAGATGTCGGATCTACTGCTTCTCTCCTTACTCATTCTTCAAGCTTCACAATATTTACAATCACACCAAGAAATCACTCACAAAGCTCTCTTTCTCTCTCAAGAAGGTGCAAAGCTCAGCTTGGGTCCTCTCTGACTAATGGAGTGGTAAAGGAGGCCACAAGAGGCGGGTTAAGTCCATTAAATAGAGTGCAAACGCTAAAAATTAGGGTTTCTCTTTACATCTCCTACTCGTCGAGTCGGGGCCTTCCGAATCTTCGAGTAGGGTCGAAATCCTATGTCCCATAAAAGCTTTTGCTCGACGAGTTGGAGCTCCCTAACTCGCCGAGTCCAAGCACAAAATTCTAAAGAATCAGATTATTCAACAAATACTTGGAACAAGTGTTACAATTCTCTTGTGTTGACATCAAACTAATGGTCGTGTTTAGACTAAATTGATAATGAATCAATATTGCAGTCTGTTGTAGTCAACACAAATCTCTATCGGGAAACATAATCCTGACCGTCTAAGATTGACATCCTTCCATGTCGCATGTTCATACGGATATCTTGAAAAACAAAGGAATCTTTTGTCACTTACCTAAGGACTGTTTCATACCTAAAGGTTATGAGTACAATTATAGTCTTGGCTAACGTACACCTTTCTAGGGTTAAGGAATATATGACTATACAATTATTGTGACATGTGTAAAAGTGGGAGAGTGTTGGAAGTATGTCTATGACACAAGAAGTTAGTAATATTTCTATAAATAGCAAGGTCCTTTTGGGTTACAAGTAATATATGATTTAAGCATAATATAACAAAACAAGGATTAGAGGGGTTAGTTTGCTAATTCATCATGTCATAGTGCATTAATTAGAAACTAAGAGGAATTAAAGTTTTTAAGTGTAATTATCTTTAATTTAAATTGGTAAGTATTTATACTATAAATTTAGGGATTTATATATCAATAAAAAGGAGAATAATTGATTTATTCTAACCCTAGTCGATCCTAGCGTGTGAACAAGCCTCTCTCCCTTATTCGCTCCTCTCCCTCTCGGTTTTTCTTATCCATTCCGCAACCCTTCTTTCTAAAGGTAGAGCTTCAGTTCTGGACAAAGAAGAAGGATTGTCATATCATGCTAGATCATTTTCTTGGGGTGCTTCCACATTAGAACAGTTCTAGTTTGGGATCTATATCATCCAAGAAATCAAGCAATGAATCGAACCATTAAAAAGTATACAACTCGAATTATACTCTATGATTTTTAGTTTTGTTGCATTAAACCATGAACTTGTGATCCATGGTGCAATATAACGGTAAAAGTTTTAAACTTGCTTTAGTTGTGTTCATTTGTAAAAACCATCATATTCAACAACTAAGGCATCCTTCTCTTCCTTGGAGGCAATGGTTTGATACATTTAGTTTCAACCTGCATACGTCTCTATTCAAATGCCTTATATTATCTTAATATGCATTGGTACATTTCAGTTTGCTAAACCAATCACTAATGTGTTCCTATGGACATTGATGAGTGTAATTTAATGCAAAACATGCATATTTACAAGGAATTCCATGGAATCCCCAAAACCAACAAGAGCAGTGAGATGCCTCCATATCCACCAAAAATGAGTCAAGGCCCTTTATGACCTCATATAAATTCTTTCCACTTGCTAGAACTAACTAATGCCTACAATGTGGGTATAAAACATTAGAATTACGAACCAATATTCAAAACTCATGCTATTATAGATAATACATTATATTTTTTTCCCTTATTTTTGCATCTTCTTCAATCTAGCAGGACAATTATCACCATCTGAACCTTAAGCTTTTGTTAGTATTTTGCAACGCCTTTCTATTACATGGATTATAGGTTTTCCTTAAGTAACCAAATCGACCCTAGTTTTT